CCCCCCCCCCAAGTCAAATGCCTGTCTGATGTCTGGATGAACCAGGTCAATCGGGGCGCTCCCCCTCCTACCCGCATCAAGCAGCGCAGACGACGAAAAAGTCGCAGAGAACCTCTTTCTCCTCACCTGTTGGCCGCAGAAGGTCCTCATCGAGCCCGCACCTCACGGATCCTGGGGCAGGACCGACATTGCTGGTGGCTCCCGGCTGCGGGAGGTGGGCAGCGGCGGGCTGGGGGAGGACTTTGCCTTTGGCAGTGTGCTGATGAAGGTGCTGGAGGGGATTGTGCGGGCGGGGGGGGAGGTGTATGCTGTGGAGCAGAAAGCCGTGTATGGGCTCTTTTGGAACCACATCGACTGCCTCACGGCCGGGTGTCTCATCGACCAGGTGTGGATGGATGGATGGATGGACATAGACTGTCTGTCTCAGTCTCTTGTGTCTCATCTCGTTGCGTCATGTGTGGGTTGCAATGCAGCAAGTGGGTCCGCAGGTGTTGGAGATGGGGTATGACCTCCTGGTCTGCGCTATGCACGTCCGGCTGCTGCACCCTGTGGTCGCTGCCCCCTCACCATTCCTGGTCGGTCGGGCGGTCGGTCAACCATCCAGCCCCACACACACCACCACAGACCCAACTGTTTCTCTCCCTCCCTGTCACTCACTCGCTCTTTGTCTCTCCGTCTCTCTGCCCCTCTTGTCTTGTGTTTGATATATGCAGCTGAGTCGGTTGAGGCCCGCAGCAGCCAGGGACCATCTGCGGCAGTCTGTGCGTGCACTGACCAGCCAGACGGGCGCCGATCGCCCCGCCAGCCGTCTGGCCAAGCTGACCGAGATGATCACGTCGGCACAGCAGCGGCGGGGCAGCCAGGTGTCTGAGGTGGGCACTCATGACCACCAGCCCCCATCCGGCGGCGACCCCTCCCCCGCCCCCACACCACGCGCAGACAACAGCACGCACACGCATCCAGCCGCTGCTGCTGGTGCTGCTGGTGCTGGCACCAACGGCCCATCTTTGTCAGTAGGAGAGGTGCAGGTGCCTTTGGTGATCCCGACGGCCGTGCACACCGCGGTCAAGGACTTCGCCAGCCGAGCCTTGCTCTACCCCTTCCGCGGCTTCTTCGTTCTGGCCTTCCCCGCCGACCTGGATCACGACTTTGTCACGTCTCCCATTGAGAATGTGCACATGGTCGACACATCGGCGGGATGCTGGGAGGGAGACAAGGCAGAGGAGGGGGAAGGCGGTGGGGGGGCAGCGCCCGTCAGGCCCATGACCGTCATGAATGTGCACGGCAGGTGCGCACACACGCGAGCTCATCGACTAAGTGCAGACGGGACAAGGGAAATGCGGTGTGTGCGAGTTGTGTGTGTGTGCAGGGTGGGTGATTTGCCCCCGTCGATGGTGGAGCGGCTGGGTCGCTACCACGTGGCCTACCAGGCATACCTCCACGGCGGCAACCTCCTCAACACCATACAGGTAGCGTAGCAGCGACCCGAAAACAACAACACGATCCCTTGCCTCTGTCTGTCTGTCTGTCTGTGTGTCTGTCTGCAGGAGTTGGAGGCTCTGATAGAGGACGGCATCGACGACGACGTCTTCACCCTGCTGCTGGTGCCGCAGCTGACCCTCCTGCTCAAGCGATCCCTCTACCTCTTCATGGCCGGGCCGCCATCCGCCTGTGGCCACCCTGCACAAGCCGCCACAGGTGCCGAAGCCGATGGGTCATGGGATGAAGGCTCGGAAGCGACGCCCACGCCGCGCACATCGAGACAGCAAAGGGCCCACGCGAGGAGCGAGGAGAGAGAGGCCGGCGGGCCGCAGGCAATGGAGCGGTGGAATGGTGTGTGGGAGGGTGCCGAGCCGACGATCGGGCAGCTGCGCAGCATGGCCAGCAGCACCCACAGCAGCAGCGGCTGGGGCAGTCGGCATAAGGGCGCCTCCGCCTGGCAGGTGTCGACAGAAGGATGGGAGCCCTGGGTGCGGGAGCTTTTGCAGACGACACTGCTCATCCTGCAGACCGTCGAGACGGCCGCCGATCACAACAACATGCTGCTCATGTAGCCAGCTGGGTCAGACCTGCTGGATGTCTGTCTGTCTGTCTCTCTGTCTGTCTGTATGTCTGTCTGTGGCCTCCTATATACTTGTTTGTCAGCTGAATTGTTTGCTCTCTGTTTCTCTGTCGTGCACACAAATGAGTTTGAGGGCATTGCGTGCCTGAGGTGCTGCGTCGTGGGAACTTCATGTCATATCATGGACACACAAGAAGACACACACGCGTGGATAAATGGATGGATGGATCCATAAGCATCTGCTTTGGTGCGACCGCACGAGCAGGTCGCAGAGTCCTGCCGCCTATTCCAACAGACAGACAGACAGACAGACAGAAACACACACACACACACACACGCATACACACAGACACACACACGCATACACACACAGAAAGAGACATGCGGTGCCCTGTCTGCTGCCGGCTGCGAGCCAACGAAGAAAAGTAAGTGCAGCAAAAGAGCAGTGAACGACAAATAAACAAACCGACAGCTGTCTGTCTGTCTGTCTGTCTGTCGTGTTTGCTGAGTACGTCTGTATGTATGCATGCAGACATGTCTACCGCTGAGTACGTCTGTCTGTCTGTCTACCTCTGTCTACGTGTGCTCTACGTGCCGCCCTGCCTCTGCCTGTCTTTCTATGTATAGCTTCCCGCTCCACCCTCAAGTGCGTGAGCGAATCCCTCCTATATATGCGACCTCAAGCCCGGCGCGACCGTGGTCAGTCAAGGCCTCACAGCCGACTCAAATGGGTTAGATCCAGACCTGCTCTCGCTCATCCGCATGGTCTTCCGCAGCTGAGACTCAAAGCCGAGAAATACCTTGAGAGAGGGAGGCAGGCAGCATGGAGGCACGAAGAGGGCGTGTGTGTGCGTACACATATATCGGTGTCTGCTCATATGTATGTGCCGTCCCCTCACCTCTCACCTCTTTATGTGCAGGTGTTCTGACCGAGTGCCCGCCCCTGTCGGAGAGCCCACTCTCCAGCCCGTCCTGATCGTCGAATGCGTCTACATCCGACATGGCTGTAGTGTCGGGCCCCGGCTTGCCCGCCCAGGCCCCATCCTGCTTCATATGCAACCCAGGCACCACACGAGTCTGGCTGGCATTGGCATGGGCAGTCAGCCTCCCGCCCGTCGTTGAGTCGTCCCCTCGACGAGACGAAGTGAACTTAATGTCGCTAGACGAGGCACTGGGGCTCTCAGTTGTTCCGCGATGATGCGGTCTTGGTCGTCTGCCGGGCCGCGGGGACTCGTAGCCGTCGTCGCTCTCGATGGTACCTCTTGAGAAAGGGTCGCTCTCATTGCCCAAGTCGGACCGCACCGACAACTTGGGATTTATCTACATGCCAAGAAAGTTTACGAAGCAAGCCACAAAATCAACCGACAACAAAGTGTGGATGGGATGCGTCACTCACGAGAAGGGGTGACTGCTCCCTGCGGAAGTACATACCTTGTTTCTCCGGGGCCGGGGTGAGATGTCGTCGTCGGTTATTGACCCAGTGAGAGGGTTCCGTCTCTGCCCCTCCATGCCCCTGAGGTTGGGCAGGGAGTTAAACATGTTCAGCCATTTGGACGCCGTCTTGCCAAGAAGACCCTGGGGGTGCCTCCGGTCGAAGTAGCGCTGCGGGTGCCTTGACCCGTACCACCACGTTATGGGCACGATCAGCAGCAGATAGATGAACATCAAAGCGCCTGCATGGGAGAGGAGAGAGCAGCGAGACGCACGTGTGCCGTTTGTCGCTGCTTCTCATATGCGCACGGACCGACCCGACCCACCTGTGGCGGCCCTGGCATCAGTGGCGTTTATGTCGGAAGGAGGCTGTGGACAGACAGCACTCAGTGCGAAAAGAAGGAGACAAATGCAGAGCAAGCGCATTCGAGTGAGCTATTCCCCGCCTGATTACCAACGCGAATGTATAGAAGAGGCCAATTAAGGTGACAATGTGCAGCAACAGCACCTGACGATGAGAGACACAACACTCGCGCCGTACCACACTTCCGTGAGCGTACGTATCTGTCTCTGTGTGTATCTGTCTGTGTCTCTCTCAGTCACTCACCGTGAGTGCGATATCCAGTTTGCTATTCGCAGATCGTCTCCAAGGCGCAAACGACATCTGACCGAGTACGTGCGAAGGAGAGACATGCTCTTGCACACAGACATCCGGGCGTCTTAGTGCCTGTCATGTCCCACCGTGGCAAATGCACTGCAGAGCAGAACCAACAAATGGAAAGTAAGTACGGCAGGAGTGTGAATGTGAACATGAATCATCATTATCGTTCTAAGCTTACTAAAAGGTCAGTATGACGGCGTAGTAGAGCAGCTGCAGCTGCCCAATGTTGGGCACCAAGGCGGTCGACAGCGCTAGAGACGCATTGCGGGCCTGGCAAAGTGGACCCACACAAAGTGCAGTGAGTGCAGAATGAGCGCTGGCCATCTGTCATTCGAAATATATAGGCGACCCTCACCATCCAGACGCACTCCCACCAAACCATCCCCTGTCTGTATTTGCCCACGACGTATCTGAAGGCCGCACTAAAGACCTCGTCGAATCCTGAGAGCAAGGCGCAAAGCACACATCAATCAGCCGTAAAGGTGGTGCTGCCGACGCACCGCACCTTCCAGGTGTGCGGCCTTGTCTCTTCTCTTGAGATCTGTGAGTTTCTGCATGCGGAACGATATGGCAATGGAGGCGATGTAGGGGCAGATGATGTAGAGAAAGATGCCAATCCAGCTCAGCCACATCTGATCGCGCCACTCCTGACCTCTCGCCTGTTAGTAAGCAGATTCACATCGAAGACATCAATCAACGAGACACAGGGAGTGAGTGTGGGAGGCTTCCTTACGTACCGACTCCCAGTCGCATATGACGTAGGGATGCGTTCTCACAGTGAAATCACCCGAGGGATGCTGCAAAGAGAGAGGAACAAGGTGCCACTTTAGTGCGCTCTCCCAATTGCTGCCTGCGTGGCGCTGCTTTGTCCTCACCCGAAAGCAGTCAACGTGTGCCATTGCGATCGACACGAGAGCAACGTACATGAATGAGCTCACTTGCGTAGTCGTCGCTACGATCTGCATTCATTGCCACAGGCATACAGATGATAGCAGAGGGTGCGTCTCTGAACTGGCGTACTCTGATGAGTCCCAGCCCGTGTGCAGTGTCGACAAATTTCCTCCGAAACCAATGCAGCCAGGCCTTGCGCCTCCCCCTCGCTTTGTCTGGATTCAGGCAGTCCCATTTCTTTCCATAGAAGAGAAACCCCTGAGTGAGACGACCAACACGACCCGGTATGTATCGTGCCGCCCTGCTGGTCATCGCCGCTTCCGTGGTGTCTGTCTGACCTCGAGGGTGAAGTGCAGTATTGCCACGGCTGTGATAAAGATTATGGGGATCGAGAAGAGGTACCCAATCTGGCGCGAGAAGGAGTCGAGGCCAAAGCATGAGACGCCAAGAATAGACGGATCGACCATCAGCAGCCTGGCGCATCAATCAATTAGTCGGTCGAGGCAACGGGGAACAGACACCACACCGTCAGTCGCACATGGACTGTGGTCTATGAATGTGTCTCTCTCGGAGCAAGGACTTACTTACCGAGGTAAGCTCAAGAGCGTGGAGACCTGCACGACGATTCGCAGGTTGAAGCTGCTGATGATGCCGATGTGTTGCAGGAAGGAGAGAATGATCAGGAACGCCTTGTTAGGGTCCAAGGCCGCGTCTCGCTCGGCCTGGCTGCTCATGACGCTTCGCGACGAGACGCCTGACACGTTCTCTGACCTGCCCCTTCGCGGCGCCACATACGAAGTCTTGGCGTAAAAGTACATGGCGATCGGCATCATGACGAGCAGACAAAGGAGGAAAAAGCCAAAAATGCCACCGCTCATAAAGCATTTTGAGCACCGGCCGCCACTGCCCTGCACACAAGGACGAGATCATCCACCGACATACACACGTGTGGACATGTGTGTCCTCAGTATGTGCGGCAGATCGGCGCATACGTACGCCTACATACCCTAGTGTATCCTTCTTCGCATCTCCCGCACGCCAGTCCGACACGATGCGCGCTGCAGCTGCGCGGCCCCCCACCGGGACAGCTGGATCGAGGGTTGCACTCGTATATTGTCGGAAAATCGTTGTTGTCACGAATCCGATACGACTCCATGTAGTAGCCGGGCTTGGCGCGAGGAGGATCGAATCGGCCTGGGGTAACAAAGAGAAGAGACGAAGACATGACATGTCTCTCTCAATCGAGCGACATTCGTGCGCACTGCTCACCCACCTGGGCATTTGTACAGGTTGTCATTGCAGAGCTTGCACGTGCCCCGCGGGAGAGTGGCGTTGACGAGGTCGTTCGCGCGAATCGTGCCGTTGAACCCATTCGTATAGAGACCTTGAGCGAATAACAGTTTTGCAACGAGAATACAAAGACCCTCCCCTCTGTGTGCGGTGTAGACATAGGCGATTTGATGAGCGTCACCGACCTGTGAAGAAGTATCCGCTTTTGCAGACGCACTGCTTGCGCGAAACGCTCCCCAAAGTATCCGTCGTGCGCGTCTCGCTGCCTTTCGTACTGCAGGGCTGACAGCTCTGTTCGCCTTTCTGGTCGCTGTAGAAGCCCTTTGCGCACCTCTGGCACGTGGCTGACCCCTGTGCCTCCGAGAAGAAGCCCTCCTGGCATATCTGACACCCCGCATCGGAGTTGCCGGGGTTGGCAAATCCCGGCGGGCACATCTCGCATGAGGTCTGGCCCTCAAGCGGCTGACCAGTACCTGCGGGCATACATGAGACATGAGACCAGTCAATATGTGGACGGGCCGCAAGATGACATCAAAACTGGAACAGGGATCGACCCATGCTTGTATCAGCTGGCTACCGACCGGGAGGGCAGAAGTCGCATCGAGACGTGTTGGTGACGTCTGAGAAAGTGTTGGCTGAGCAGTTTGCGCAACGCAGACCTGAGTGCAACCACGGTTGACGCCCTTTTCAGCTGTTGGTTGGTTGAGTGCGTGAGTGCGTGTGTGAGTGAGAGGCTGACTGATTCACCCCCCCCCCACCTGTGTTGAACGTCCCAGGTGGGCATCCAACAAAGCTGAACGAGACACAAGCAGGACATCACTCACCAGCTGTCTCACTGACTCAGACAGAGAAACAGACAAACAGACAGACCGACAGGCCCGTCCTTGTTTGTTGGTCTGCCTGTCTTCTGTCTGCCTGTCTGCCTGTGGGCCTATCTATCTGTCTGTCTGTCTGTCTGTCTGTCCGTCTGTCCGTCTGTGTTTGTGTAAAGGTCATATGTACGCACCGTGATTGGAAGCTGGGCATGGGGATCTGAATAGGCACTTCGGCAACGGCCT